TACACATTGTTTTGGTGCCGAGACCAGGATCCAAGATGACCGAACGACCAACTCTTTCCAAGCTGAAGGGAACTCGCTCAGCGCATCGTGGACAGATGACGAAGCTCCTGAAAAAGGCTGACGAAGACGTCAACGTTTCTCCCAAGACAACATCGAAGGTGCGTTAGACTCACTCACTGCTATCCATAACTTGATCTCATCGAAGTACGAAAGTCTTATCAACCTCGACAAACAAATAGTCAAACAGACGGAAGAAAACTACTTGGAGGCGACTATCACCGAATCTGACGATTACCTGACCGATATATACGAGAAAAACATCTTTTATCTCGATTTATCAAAAGAAAGTCACGAGCTGATACAAGCCCACCGATAAGCCCTGAAGTCCCCGCTGCTGCATCAACCAGTCCAGCAGTCACCATTTGCCGCTCCATCCACCCAACCTAACAGAACCAAAAACCTACCAAAGCTATCGTCATGGAAAAGTTGCCGCCAAATACCCAAAAACAGAGTGCGCGGGGTCATGGAAATAACGAATGGAATCTACCCGAACTTCGCCAAGCCATCCATAACGAGATGAATGCTCTACAAGCTGGATTCTCCGCCGATAACCATGACCGCGTACCCAGAAACCCCGGTAACTGCGGGAAGTGAACCTGTCACTTCACGGAAATCGACCCGAACGAGACCGACTAAATCTATTGTATGTGCGTACTGCAAAGATGCCCATCCGTCGAAGTTGTGACTGGCTACAATAAACGCCTCGAGATAATAAAACGAGATTGTTTATCCTTCAACTGTCTCGGTAAACACAAAGTTACGGATTGCTAATCTAAATTCAGTTGTCGCATCTGCAGAAGAAAACACCACACTTCTTTATGTAAGGGAACCTCTACTAGTAACGAGCTCTACTACTCCAGTAACTCAAACACACGTGAACTTTACTACTACCGCAAATACCGCGTCGCATAATGGACCAGTTTTATTGAAAACCGCCGTAACTGAAGTTTCCGCGGGTAGCGAAACAGCAACAGCTACGATAGTTTCTTGGTTTTAAATCTCTTCAAAGTCTGGGTGCTGTGCTGCGCAAGTGTTATCAATGGGGCAAAATAGTGTGCGACATTGTGGAATGGTCTGGGCATCGTCTGCAGAAAATTAACTGCTGTCGGTGGAATCATCGTCACTGTAATGGTCATCATTGAATCATCGCTAAACTCTAGATCTGGTAAATCGGGAATTTCACTGTCAAAATACTCTCAAAATGCGTAAGGCCAATCTAAGACCCAAGTGACCCATAGTAAAAAAAACTCGAGAAACGTCAACGCTCTTTGAAAATTACACACTGCTGTATTCAATAAACTGATTATAGTCGATCTTCAAATGAACCTAGCGTAAAACGTCATATATATGCCCGGATTTAGTATGTTCGTTGCTATAGTTCGTTGTTTGGCTAATTCGGGATGTGTTTAAAAGTCACCCACAGCCAAAAGAACCTGAAGAAAACACTAATATGGATATAATGCTATCTGAAATGGTTATTAAAATTGATACCGCCCCAAATTGCCGCGTTGACCTTCACTTTAATAATGCCAACACTATATGTGTGTATAATGTTCGAATAAAGTAAGTCATGTGACTGGTCAGTGCCACTTTAAAGTCTTCCAGGATGTACAACGTTTTATGCTTTTTCTGGGGTGAAGTTTGCGGTGGTGACTTCGTTTACTGCTCTGGTGGTATTTATCGGAGTGAACGAGACTATATCCACAAAATAGAGACAGATGGAGAACTAATACGATACCTAGTGAGCTAGTTGACAACAACAGATAGAACGAATGTATTTGTCACAGTTCTATGGAGCACATGACAAAAATAGAATAACGTCATTGACAGCACATGATGGCACAGGTACAAATGCTTCTTGCTGGCAAATCGTAATACTATATCTCAATAAAAATTATTTCTACACATTTATTCATTCATTCCCAATCTGATATAATCTGATATCCAGCTGAATCCAAAACAGTTGAGGGGGGAAACAGCTCATTATTTGCATATCACCAGGTTATTTATAATGTTTATCTCCATAAATATATGGGTTTATATCTGATACATATTTATTAGTATGACCGTACACATAATTTAGAAGTAAATGTTACCATGGTGATGATTCAATGATATGTAAAGAACACTAGTTTGCCATCAGTAAACGTGTAGGTACATTTATTTAAATGCAACTTGGACATGCACTCAATTAACTCTATTGAGGCATTTTGCCCAGATCAACTCCTCAATACCAACCTACTAATCATATAGGACAATTTTAAATTTTCACTCGCCACACTCGCTTGTTAGGCAAGTATATTAGTGATATACAACATGTTTCAACCAATCAACATCTTTGTTGCATTAGGCGTCAGTGTAACTTATTTGAAATAGAAATATCGTTAGATATGTATTAATATGTATGCTTGTGCAGCTAATAAATAACCAATAAATGCTCTATCGATCGATCTCAATGTCAAATAAAATACATAACTTGTTTTTGGTCTGGTCCTAGTCAATCCATTTAGTTTCACAAACGATATTGTGGGTCATCTTAAAATGTATAACTTGACTACTATTGATACCAAAACCCCACAGTACACAATATCATGAGTGTTATCTACTATCAAAAAGCGGCTTCAAAAGTAGTGTCATGATGTCCTCTAGTTTGAATAAATTGAATAATTTTATTCGTCATTGTTAATTGTGATTGTAATTAAAATTTGTATTTGTTTGTTTAATTTGCCCACCCTGTATACCACTATACTATCAAAAGTTAAAATAGTAAGATCTAGCAAGTCTTGATGACTGCAATTAAAACGGAATTTTCCAGCACTTTATAACACTACAAAAGATTATCCAACAATCTTCACAGTCACGAGTAAGGCTGAATACATACATTACTACGCTAAAATGGAGTGCATCTGCAGAGTTTCAAAAGAAACATATTCTGTGTGAAGTTCCCGGACTTGAAATAACATACAGTATTCTGTATTGATTCATATGCTTCCGCTCAACTGTACACACTTACTGTTTGTATCGTGTGGGTTAGGCGTTTATTTAATGTTGCAGTAGAAGCAGTAAATCAGTAGCTCAACATTAGTAAGTGTTTGGATTTGAGTACATACATTTGACAGCATTATCAGGGGGAAAATCTTCTCCACACTTGTCAGGGGGGAAACTCGTCTCGTCTCTCTATCTCGTCCCCTTGAGGTATGGGATCGGGAAAGTCACTTATACTTTACAGTCAAGTAAGACACACACAACGAAATACGTTTCAGCTCTCGTCTTAGTCGGTCAATCGAGCACTCTATAAGACACAGCGCCCTGGGGAAAAAATCCCCAAGACTCTCTTAGACTGCGTCAACACTCGCCCCAAGGCTCTCCAGGACTGCTCTCGACTCTCCAGGACTGGACTCAACTGCCCAGGACTGCACTCTCTCTACTGCGTCTATCGTGCTGTGCTCCCCAAGACCAACTCAAACTCTCTTTATTCATTTTCAAAACACTAACCAATTACAAAGCAGTAAAAAGACTCTAGGGCGTAACCTTCAATCATAAAGCCAATCACACTAAGTACTGAATACGTCATATCTTTTGAGTAGTCGTTCACTACATTAATAACTACGGATATAAACTGCCAAAATGAGTAGTCTGAATAGCGGCGGCTATCTGGTAATTAGTTCCAAATCACTGAGCCAAGTTCCGTCCAAAACTTCAAATAGGCCTAAACGATGACAGACATAACACAGCAATTCAGCTAATAATCAGCTAATTAAGTTGGTCAACAGATACGCAAAAACAAATTCATGACAGCATCCTTTACAATAAGGTTTTTTTATACTACCTAAAACCCTGCAAATAGAACTATCGCCACTATTTCAACTGAGTGCTCTGTGTGTTGCTGCTGCTATATTGTAAGACAAGAGGTGATACAGAGGCTTCAACAATCATTCTGTGATACTTGTATGAACTGCTTTGTGATCTCCTGCTTTCAGCGGTGCCCTTTAGAGTAACATCATTCCTCTCAAAGCAAGACTCCTGTGTTTCTTCGTTGTTGTGTTGCAGAAGCCATTGACTATCATCAATTTCCACATCCTGAAACTGCGAGTTACAACCAATGCACACTTCCCTAAGCAATCCCCTATTTTAGTGAATTTATTCATTGTATTATTTCGTGCTTTGTTTCTTGTAATTATTTTGAGAGGTATTTAAGCCAGGAGCTTTAACTTGATATTTTGGTGTATGTGTATTTCATTTCCAGTACTATTGCCTTGTCTACCCAATACTAGCAGTGAAAGAACCCCCTGTCCAGTGTGAGTTATGTGGGTGCCCCTCTCAATAGCAATAAGCAGGCCTTCCATTGTGACACCAATGTAGATCAATTTTATAATCATTAGCAAATGCAGATTTGCGCGGAGCCCAGAATACAGTTTATATGATTGCTTAAGATGACCAAATCACATTTTCGGAGTATGAGACAAATGTAATCAACTACACAGATAAAGAGAATAGGCATGGAAATAACCAAAATTATTTAAAAAAAAGCAGAATACAAATTGTGAGCATTGTCCAGCATTTAAGCATTGTATTCTATAGTGGCAACTACGTAATGCTTTAACCGTAACACATTCTGGTAATCACGTGATCGTGCCAAACACTGCAGCGATTGGCTCATCGCATGTTTACTCTGCCACGCCACGAGATTTAAGATAGAGTTTGTAATATTTGTGAGAGCAGAAAGAGAGGATCGGGCAGTGAGGTTTAAGTTCAGCTGACTGTTTGGATCAATAAAGCTGGACTAACTGTAATGAACTAATGTATATTCCTTTGAGTCAAATCTGGTACCTCTATGTGTAAATGTGATCAGCGAAGCAAGACAATTTTTTCCAAACACAACGCAAGTGTTATCAACAATAGCTTCAGAATAAAGTATTAATCGAAGAGAACCTAATAGGAATTATTACGGGTGATATTTATTTCATCTTAAGATACATTACTTTTTCTGTATCGTTACCATCCTCATCCCAGTGTGCGGACAGCCTACTCGATATACACATAGTTGCTGTTCTCCATATCAATTAAATATATACCTCCGACCTTCTTCCAAATAATCATCAGCTTGGCGTTGCCGATAACAGCGCCGTCTTTACTCATGGTGTACGAATTCAAGCTGTAAGCCAACTGGTCCTCAATTATAACGCCGTACTCATCAAGGGTGACGTCGATCTCAAACTCATCCCTGATTGTCTTTATCCATTGGAGGGTATCTGGAAAATAGTATGTGTTACTGCTATGTTATCACAAAATGTGTGTATTATTTATGGATATCCCCAAATAAATGTTACCCTCCCTTTTAAATAAAATATATATGACCTGCCAGAAACGAAGTGTTGTTGATTGATCGGACAATATCTGACATGTATTTTGTGATGAGAATAAAGCATTTGCGACCATCTGTGCAAAGATATATTTCAGTCACTGTACATCATCAAAACTACAATTGTTCACCTGTTTCGTGTTTAAAACACGAAAGATATAGTCTACCAAATTATTTGTGCATACTTGATAGGTAAATGTTTTATTTTGACGTGCTTGAAAACCACGAGAGTTTAGAAGTAAATTGCCGTCAATATCTTGTTGAGAACAGGGAAACATGTTAATTTTTTGTTCATCGATTAGTGTTCCATTGTCTGTCATCAGAACTGGGGGGAATGTACATATCCAGACTTGCAAAAATAAGTCATACAGGTTTCCACTCTAAGCTATATATCGATGCCCATTTACTTTACGAGGTATTTGTAAAACACATGTAAAATATTGAATGCAGAAAAATAAACATAAAATTATCGAATGTCCAGAAATATGTAACATATATTTCATCATACCCTGAAAACCTTTAGATATTTTTCCATTACGCATTCTCCTACAGTCAGGGGTGTAGACAGTTTTCAAACCGGTCCAATCTTTGTGATCGAACATATATTCCATTGTCTTTACGCGGTATTCTAGTTCATTTTTCAGGTGGTCGGTGGCCATGATAGCGTAAAATGTAACTATAACCCACTGCTCTGAAAACAAATGTAAATCACGGTAGGCAACCTATGACATCATATATATATATATGCAGCTCTATAATCTTCCTATTAGTTCATAGGCCATTGCCGCCATTTTGCTTTATGTTTGATATAATTTACAATATCACCAATGTGGCTATTACAAACCTTGCAGCTGGATGAGCTCAACGTTTTTGTTTTTCTGTTTTGGTTTTGGCATCAATTTTCTAGTTCAACTGAAAATTACAAATCACTACTACAATTACTTCTATTGTCAGTACTAACAATGCTATTGATACTCACAGCAAACCTTTATGTCTTGTATACACTTAATGTTGTGTCGAACCGAATCGTTGTTAAACTGCAGAAATTGCTGACGACAGTGTTCAGTTTTAAATCGCTAACCAGTGGATTTTAACAAAATTCTATGTTTAACGATGTCGTCACGCCCAGTACTATTTCAGTTGCACACGTCACAGATGAAAATATTAAGTATGTTCTATTTTTGTTGTGCACACAATACGAATAATTCTCATTCTGTTTCGTGCATTTTTCTCATGTATCCTAAAATTACCAGCTCGTGGAACCAGTCAACCAACATGGACACACCCTTGCACAGCATTATATTTAGAAAAATAATCATTTTTGTGCATACAACAAACAATACTTTTTTATTTCATAGAGAATAAATAACACACTGCTGAATATGCATGTCAGTAATGATAAAAAATATGACTCTTGACGTGGAAATTAGCTGTTTTAGCTGATTTCATCACACCCATAGAAAATTAATGAGTCAACGTTCGTGCATTCTTTCTTACTCCGATGTCAATCATTTATAGTAGAGATTTTTTGTAATTTTTAAAATTAACGGAAAGTTTTCAAATTTCCTCTAATGTTCAAAGAACAAGTTTTTGATGATGATATCAGCATGTAGAGCGTTTTAAGGTGTTAACACACCGTGTAAAGTTGCTCAAAGTGATTGCAAATTTGGTAGATGCATTTGTATATTTGTCGTAATTAGTTGGCATGTAGGCCCCCGCAGTTGTAAGTCGAAAACATGAATAAAAACCAGAGGAAAGCAGCCAATATTAGCTGATGTTCACATGAGCTGGCCGTAAAATGTTAGAAAACAGCGTGCAAAGTTGTAGAAAGTGACTGAAAGGTTGGCGGAGTTTTCATGTAAATTTGCCAACTTTAAGTCACTTTTCACTACATTGTCAGCAGTTTGTTTATTATTTAAGAAAAGTGATTGCAACCTTTCCCAACACATTTACTAATTGTTTTCTGTATTTTTAACTGTGGGGTCTATATAACAATGACTTAGGTCAAATAGCAAACCCAACAACTTTTCAAATGTTGTTCATATCCTTTTAGCCTATTTTATAACATATTCTTGTCAGCTCATATGGTACTCTGCTAATATACAGGACTTTCAGTTGAATTTTATTCACTTTTCCAACTTTATAACTTTACGGTTTTAAAACATTTAGTAAACTTTAAAAAAAATCTAAATTATCTGCATGACTTTTAACAATGGTAATATAACAGCATAGTTCACAATTCCAAGTAAATTTGCCAACTTTGCAATCACTTTTCAAGCAGTTTGTTTATCATCATTAAACTTAAAAAAATCTAAATAATCTGCACGACTTTTTACTATAAATGTGTGACATCACAAGATTAAAATACACAAACAAATTCTTTGTCTTTTCCATGTTGGTGGCGGAAGCAAAACAAATTATGTCACCGGCCGGTTGCTCGGGGAGTCTCCCATGCAATTACTAGCCACGCCCAATTGAGCTTAACTTTTGATATGGTCAATCACCTGACCACACGGCTAAGGGGGTTATTTGCATTCTATGCGAATTGGCGGCCATTTAATGTTTTGAAATGTTTCAAAATTGCATTCATTTGCACTTGTGTCTTTCGTCAGTTGACCTATGATCTCTACATGCTTCAGCAGTACCATAATAAACGACCATTTACGACATATTTATTCACTTCTGCGATCATTTAACGATTGTTCTCGATAATATATCAAAATAGGTCACATTTCCATGTAAAGTTGCCAACTTTCCAATAACTTTTCACTACTTTGTAAGCAGTTTGTTTATCATATTATCATATATATAAGGGGCTTTTTTAACACATTGGCTTGTTTTTTCTATATTTTTAACTGCAGAGTCGATATAAGAAAGACTTTTTACTATAAATGTGTGATATCACTAGAATAAAATACACAAAAAAAGCCTTATGTAATTTCCATGTTTGTGATGAAAGCGAAAAAAGTATTTCACCAGCTGGTTTTCTCATGTAACCCTAATATACGAGACTTTCACTTGCATTGTTTTTTACTTTTCCTACTTTATAACTTCACGGTTAGATATGACAAAAAGTATACACGCAAATCTGCCAACTTTAACAAGTTGTTGGATTTTTTTTCTTTTTGTAATTGTTTTCTTTTGATCACACACTTGGAAAGGATATGATGCAACATTTGTGCATTCTTTGTTACTGTGATGCCAATCATTTATAGCAGAGAATCGTCGAATTTTTGTAAGTTGTTAATGGAAATCTTCAAATTCCCTTTAATTTTAGAAGACAAAATTATTGATGCTGTTGGTACCTAATGGGTTTTAAGCTGTTAACACACCATGCAAA